ATCATCTCCAACTAATGTCAATCGACATCTCCAGTTGCTTTGATCTATCTACTATCCTTCTCCTCATCCTTTCCTCTATCACTCCTATCTGATCTTGCTCCAAATCTTCTGTAACCCCTTGCATCCTAGTGGCTTCTCGCCTTGCTTGGGGTGAAACGCTTAAAAAAAAAAAAAAGAAAAAAAAAAAGATAGTTGCTTTTTCTGCCTCTTTTTGCTGGGAAAGTTGTTGGAATCTTGTTGAAGTGAATGTTGTAAATGAAACAGGTTTGAGACACTTTTAAAATAATGATCAATGTTGACACAAAATGTCAGTCGATTTAACACAATTTATTGCCATATTTTGCCTGTTTTTTTTGTTTTTTTTTCTGACTCTCCAACTTTGAATAACGCGTTTGTCTTGTCTGGTTTTCTAAGTAAAATGTAAAATCTAACTCTGACACAAAACTCCAACTCAACACTTTGATGCAAAACCCTGACTGTCCACACATTGAGAGCATTCCCCACACCCCCATGACTGAGAAAAACCTGGTGTTGTATAGCTCTCTCTCAGTCCCACCCCCACATGACTATTGGCTTACACCTGCCCAGCATCATTTGTATGCAAATTTTGTCAGCACCACTCTACTCTAAGTAGAATGTCCTCTCTCAACAGTCAATTGTAGAAGAAAGAGGACATAACTCCTGGTGTTTACTGCACCACATACAACCAACTTTAGGTCTCTTGTCAGGTTGACTTGATTCTCCGTTACATAATGCTAACATAGAATACCTGAAACAAATTCTTCTCTACTTTTTGGTTTAACTTCCCAAATTTTAAAACAGTTTAAATCTGTAAAATATGAGAAGATTGTTCTCAGGAAGATATTAAAACATACTCTTAGTACTCCCGCCCTTGCATCTTAGAAACTTTGTTGCCTTGCTTGGGATGAAATGATTAAAAAAAAAAAGGTCAGATCTGAAAGAAATTTCTCAATGTTTATTTGGTGTTGCAATTAACAGATGTTAAGTATAAATTGTCACTCTTTTTCACTATTGTTGACTTGGATGCATTAACTAGGCCAATTGAAGAGTTAACACTGCACAAAATGTAGGGTTCTGTTCCAGTTAGAAATGTCTCAAAAGTCACCACTATATGTGACATTTGATAGCTAAACAAAGCAGTAAAACATGCCCGAGATACATTTCTGCCTGATCTGTTGAAACTTTATAACTCAGTTGCACTTGTCTCAGCAACTGCATTGCGCAGTTTGTGTGTAATGCGCTTAATAAAATCTTGGCTAAGGTCAAAGATGACAGCCATTACTTTGAACAGCATAATGTTTGCTGTTATACACAAGGACTGAATGGAAAACTTATGTTGTGAGAAAATCGTGAAGAAATTTATTGCAAAAGCTGAAAAGTGTCAGAGAACTATTTCAGAACCTATACAGACGACACTGTGTTGATAGCCAGCAAAGAAAGAAAACTCCAGAACTCCTACAGAAAGTGAGAAGAAAAGCATAAACATCAATGACAAGAAAACAAAATGCATGGTTTTTAGCAAAATGAACATTCCCCCCCCCAAAAAAAAATTGGTGATACCTAAATCAAACAAGTATAACAATTTAAATAACTGGGAAGCATTTTAACAATGTGGCACTGAAATCTGAAGGTGCATTGGAATAACAAAAGATGCCTTCTAAAAGCTAAGCAAAGTATTAAAAAGAAAAAAATCATTAGAAACAAAGATTACTGAACAGTTATGTAAGTGATATCAGTCCTTCTATATACAATTCTAACAATCTCCTCACAGATGGCAGTTTTGGTTTAGTTTGGTTTGGTTTATTTTGTTTAACGGCATATCAACCTCAATGGGTTATTTAATGCCGATAAATTTTTTTATTGCTGGTAATATTTTGTTTTGTCAAAAATCTGTTTCTGGTAATATATTTCCTTCAAAATTTTATTGCTGGTAATAATTTTTTTCAAAAAAGTATTGCTGGTAACAGTCAACTATTTGCCCATAGCTGGGACCCTAACAGGTGCTAACACCTCAGGTCAGGGTGGACCTGGGAATACCAGCAATTAAGAGGTGGTTCCACGCTCCTTGAAACCTCCTGATCAGAGGCCTTGCTGCTGGACGTAGTTTAACGTCTTACCCAGGACAAAGATGACAGTTTTAGAGAAAATGGAGACGAAAAGGATGCTTATACTTAACAGCAGAAACACAGTTAAAACTTCTAAAGCTCATAATGAAAACAGAAGGCTTGGAAATTTTGATACTGACAGGACATATTGTAGGCAAGAGGAGGAGAGGAAAACCATGTATAACCTACTTGGCAAGTGGAGTAAATGAATGTTGAAATATGGTTTAAAGGAGAGTAGAATTTCTCACTATCAGTTATCTCCCTTTAATTCAACTCTCAAAATTTTTTGTTTACCTCAACTGTAGCCAGGCATTGAATGCACTGGATTTAACCAACACTTTTATCTACAAAAAACTTGGAGAGTGGAATTAAAGGGAGATAACTGATACTGAGACATTCGGAAGAGGCATGGCACATGGAACTAGAACAATCTACCCAAGTGGATGAAATAAAGTGTTCAGTTTGAAATTTCAATCACCTGAAGTGAAGGCCAGAGTGTACAACAACCGAAATGTGAATATGGCAACAAAGATGAGGACAACAGTCCGAACAATGTAAATAGTGTAAATAGTTACAATACCTCATCTCATAAATATAGACAGATATTGAGAGAGAAGAAAATGAAAAAATTTATTAAGGTGAGGAAATTGTGTAGAGCCAATTTGGCACATAGAAGAATTGAACTCTTGTCTTTGATATTTAAAGATATTGACAATAAGGTTTTTTCATTTTTTTTTGTAAACCTTCTGTAACTCACTGCTTTTTTGTCATAATATTGCAACCTTAATAAAAAAAAAATATACCATGAAATACCTTGGGTTTTGCAATACAATAGCCTATTGCAAGGGGTTCCCAACCTGGGTGATATCGCCCACCAGTGGGAAATTTCAATTGTTGGGTGGGCGATTAGCAACTGAATAGAGAATGGTGGTGGGTGATAATGGAAATTTTGTTTTTTATTTTCTTGTTTGTATGTGCGTGTGTTCAATTTATTAAAAGCTCTTATACCAAATTGCTTCAAGTGTCCTTGGCGACACCTTTCTTGCAGAAGTTATATCACGGGGTGTATATCAAGGAGTATCATGAATCTATAAAAAAAAAAATATTGTCCCATGGCCTAGTGAATTAAAGTGCTGGGTTGGAAATTTGGTGACATGATGATTGTGAGTTCAATTCCTGCACTGGGAGTGTGTACTTGAGCTCAATGGAAATGAGGTGAGCAATAACTGAGCAGTACCAAATAAGAATTAGATATCACTAGACATAGTCAACAGAACAATCTATCTATCTCTATATCTATAATTCTCAAAGTGTGTGTGTGTGTGTGTGTGTGTGTGTGATCGGATGTTATTTATGCATTTCCACAGTTTTCATCCGATTTTGATGAAACATTTTGTTTGATAGGTAATTCATCAGTGCCACTTTAGAGTCCAAATTGTTGGTGACAATGGCTCTCTACTACTTCCTATTCATTATAACTCTCAGCAACATTTTACTATTTACTGTCTGTTCTGGATATATATCTTTCATAAAAACTTTAATAAAAATAAATAGTTTAAGTTATTACAATAATATTATCTATATATAAAAGTGTGTGTGTGTGTGTGTATTTGTGTGCATGTGTGTGTGTATTTGTGTGCATGTGTGTGTGTGTATTTGTGTGCATGTGTGTGTGTATTTGTGTGTATGTGTGTGATCGGATGTTGTTTATGTGTTTCCACAGTTTTCATCCGATTTTGATGAAATGTTTTTTCTTTGGTAGATAATTCTTCAGTGCCGGCTTTAAGTCCAAATTGACTGGAAAATAATCGCAACCTTGAAGAGGAAAAGTCAAAAATCTTTAATATTTTTTTGGGCTGACTTTAAACTTAAACTGCTCCAATTGAACAGCAAAAATTTCCAGCAATGAAAGACCTGGTTGAAGATGGCTTATACTGCTAATAGATTAAATAAAGGGTTTAGTTTGAAATTCTCTGAAGGTTATCCAGATAGACAAGCACCCCGAGGGAGCAATGGCCGAAATGTTGTGATAATAACAACAAAATGGAGGTCCATTGCTAGGTCAGCTGCTAAGAAGGTCAGTTCACTGTATTGTGCGAGACAATGTTTCTCTCTGGAATCTATCTTATATATCTATAAGTCTACCATTCTTCCATGCTTAGAATATTGCTGCCACATATGGTCCGGTGTCCCTGCTATTTATTTAGAGTGCCTTGATAAGATCCAAAGAAGAATCAGCAATATTATTAATCCTGATTTGTCAGCTTGGCTTTAGTCACTTTCCCACCACTGTAAGGTTGCCTGTCTGTTCCTTTTTTATAAATACTTTCATAGTAATTATTAAGATGAACTCTTCGCTATGGTAGCTAGACGTTATGAACTTAAGCAAAGTACTAGACTGGTGTTGAGATCTCATCAATTTACAGTTGAGCTAGCTAGATGCAGCAATAAATTCTATGCTATTTCTTTTCTCACACTTCCTGCTTGTGGAACTCCTTTCTGGCTCCATGATTTCCAGCCAAATTTAATCTGCAAAAATTTAAATGCAATGTCAATCACTATCTAATGTCCTTCTGATTACTCTTTTCTCTTTCTGCTCATTAATAATGTTTCTGTTTCTAATTATTCCATACCCTGTAACCCCCTTGCATTTTAGTGCCTTGCTTCGGGTGATACTGATTTAAAAAAAAGAAATAGTCCACTTGCAAATAATGATAATTCCTTATCCCAGAAATTCAAACCACACTCAGTGGTGGAAATGTTGACAAAATTTCTAATTTACTCTTCACATCTTTGCTTGTTATTTCTTTTTGTAAATGGATGCCAACTAACTAGAAGACAGAGGCAGGCAAACTTCTCTTAATTGTATCGTAAATGTTTAACAAAGGGACAACAGTTGAAATCAAAGAGGCGAGGAGGGGAATAAGAAAATGTTTGTTGTTGTTGATCATTGGCAATTGATAACGAAAGACTTTGAATTAAAAAAGACTACCTGATTCTTGTCTGGGAATTCAGGTGACACAGATATTATTAACATCTACCTGCTTGCACCTTGTCAGTGCATTTCCCCCCCCTCTCTCTCTCTCTCTCTCTCTTTCTTTAAAGTTTTATTTTCTCTCTCTCTCACTCTTTAAAAGTCTTTCTCTCACTCTCTATATCTTTAAAAATCATTTCTCACTCTCTATCTCTTTAAAGTCTTTCTCTCACTCTCTATCTCTTTAAAGTCTTTCTCTCACTCTCTATCTCTTTAAAGTCTTTCTCTCACTCTCTCTCTTTAAAGTTTTTTCTCTACTCTCTTTAAAGTCTTTTCTCTCTCTCTCTCTTTTTAAAGTCTTTAATCATAATCTTTAAAGTCTTTTCTCCTCTCTCTCTCTTTAAAGTCTTTTAATTTCTCTTTAAAAGTCTTTCTCACTCTCTCTCTTTAAAGTCTTTCTCTCACTCTCTCTCTTTAAAGTCTTTCTCTCACTCTCTCTCTTTAAAGTCTTTCTCTCACTCTCTCTCTTTAAAGTCTTTCTCAATTTTCTCTCTCTTTAATTCTTTCTCTCTGCCCTTTCTAAAGCCTCTCTGCAGTCTCTCTTATAAATTCTTTCCAGTCTCTCTCTCCCCCCTCTCTTTTCAGTCTCTCTCTCCCTCCTCTCTTTTTTTAAGTCTAAAAATTTTATCCCCCTCTTTTCAGTCTGGAATTTCTCCCCCCTCTTTTTAGTCTCTCTCTTTCATGTGGATCTTTTTTAGTCTCTTTTTTCTCCCCCCTCTCTTTCAGTTCTCTCTCTTTCTCCCCCCTCTTTAGAGTCTCTCTCTTTCTCCCCTCTCTTTTCAGTCTTCTCTTTCTCCCCCTCTTTTCACTAAAATTTTCCCCTCTCTTTTCAGTCTCTCTCTTTCTCCCCCTCTCTTTTCAGTCTCTCTCTCTCAAGTCTTCCTGTCTTTCTCCAAGAACAAACCAGACAGAAATCTGGCTAAAAAATACTCATTTCTCTTGTTCATAGATTTCTAAGAGGAGATAAAAGAATCTTGTTTGTATTTTGACAGAAATATTCTCCAGCAATTCCAACAGTGGGTTGTCACAAGATGAAGTGTCAGTAAAGATGCTTCATATTGTTTTTATGTGCTATGTATACCATTTTGGATATGAACAATCATGACTCTCCACAACTTCCTATCCTCTGTAACTCTAATCAATGTTTATTCCTTCACTATCTTTACCAATTCCTGTTCTAACATTTATATTTACACAAACTCATCACTTCGGTTGCTTCACTGCTTCTCTCTGTTCACCTTGTCTTCACTATATCCTGTGAGTGTCATATTCTCTAAGCTCTCTTTTCTCATTATGTGTTCCAAACATTTCAGCTCTTCTTTATTATTATTTTAAGTACACATGACCTTTTTTGTTTCCATTTCCTTTAAAACTTCATCATTGCTCACATGTTCAGTCCATGGTATTCTCAGCATTCTTCTGTAGAACCACATCTCTGTCGCTTCATTTCTTCTTCATCTGTGAGGAAATCGTTCAGTATTCACTGCCATATAGGAGGACCGATATTACATGACAGTTCAGCACTTTTAGCTTTGTTTCTGACAAAACATTCTATTGTTTCTCAATACTTTAAAAATAAAAAAAAAAGAGTTCATCCAATAGATGGCCTAAGGGCCACTCAAGGTCGAGGGTTACCAAGGGAGATTGTAAGGGAGAGGACATAAGAATATTATAAGAATGAGTAGAATAGACATCGGTTGACCCTGGACTTAAAGAGATCAAGATTGTAGATGTCGGGGAGGTATCCACTTGGGATTTTGTTTCACAAACTGTTCTGAGTAAGAAGCTGTTTGAGTGGAACTTGCCTTTTATCAAAGGAACATGAAGGGAACAGGGATGGTTTGCCACCATGAACATGACATGGTGGAGGGTCCTAGCTGTGAAGATCCATACTGGTGGCACTAAGGAATATAATTCGTCTGAATATTGCCATAGTAATAGCAATATAGTAATAAAAGGCTAGCTATGTTTTGTCTGTAGGATAAGGCTTGTAAGGTGGACTTAGCTTAATTTTTACCATATGCCAAAATGATTGTAATACAAAAAAATCATTTTTATCCCAAAATATGAACTAAAAGATCTAAGTAGATATACATTATGCAACAATATGCTTATCAAATACAATTTTCTGATCACTATCGAGATAGGACCCGAGGTCATGATGAAGATTCATTTCTTTCTCTCACAAAATATGAACTTTTACAAGAAATGCTGAAAAGTTCTTAGCTTGAGTAAGAAAGGATTTTTTAAAAATCCTGTGTGGTCAGATTTGGGGAATTTTATAGCACCACCCAAATATGAGTTGATGTATTAAAAATAACGACATCTTCAAATAATGCTTTGACCGTTATACACTCCAGCCTTCTTCAGGTGGTTGGAATGTTGAACTGTACCCTTTATTTTGCTCACTGGGGTAGACTGTTCTAGTTCCACGTGCCATGTCTAATGGATGTCAGTTATCTCCTGTTAATTTCCCTCTGGAAGTTCTCCACTACCTTAACCAGGTATTGAACTCATACTCTTTGGCTCCTGTCACTGGATCTAACTAACGCCTTTATTCACTGTGCTATGCGTCCTTGAGGCGTTGTGATAAACATGGCAACAAAGATGAGGACAATAATCCAAATAATGTAAATAGTGTACATAATTCCTCATCTCAGAAATATAGACAGATATCTTCAAATAATTTTGCAAATGCTTTTTATCCCTTAGGGCTTGAAACTAATCTCTTTTTATTTGTCCCAGAAATTTCAATTATCTCTTTCTGATTGTAAGTATGTTTAATTGTAGTCTCTATTCTCCTTAAAACTTCCTTATTGCTCACATGTTCAGTCCATGTTATTCTCAGCATTCTTCTGTAAAATCACATCTCTGTTATCTCAAGGCTCTTCATCTGTGGGGAAATTGTCCAGCATTCACTGCCGTACAAAAGGATTGATATTACCTAGCAATTAAGCACTCTTTTCTTTCTATTCTCACCTTCCTTCTAAAGAACCACATCTCTGTTGCCTCAAGTCTCCTCTTCATCCATGGGGAAATTGTCCAGCATTCACTACCACATAGAAGGATTGATATTACATAGCAGTTCAGCAATCTTTTCTTTGTTTTTAAAGATCAAGTAATTTTCTCTGAATGACAAAAGGAAAATACTGTCACCTAAAAACCTGTAATTTGTTAGATATTTAATCGTCTAAGGATAACCATAGACATTTTGGGTGAGTCATTTATAATTTCCGTTTTTGTTTTATCAACTTTATTCTTCAGAAATAAACTAAAATGGCATTTTATTCAATTAGTAGCTGAATTACCTACACCTTGAAGCATGTCCCACATTATTTTTGTAAGAAAACGATTGATTTTAAATCATTTGTTATAATTTGTGGAGAAAAATGCATTTCAGTATTACTCAATGATCTTGCTAATGTGACCTCCATCTTCTGGCTTTTTCCTTCTATATTTTGGATAGGAGTCATTCCTTTGTTCAAATTTAAATTTAATTTAAATCAAAGGGAAAAAATCAATAGGGGGCTGCCCCTCGGGGACACCCTTTGATCAAAATGATCTTGCTAATGTGACCTCCATCTTCTGGCTTTTTCCTTCTATATTTTGGATACAAGTCATTCCCTTGTTCAAATTTAAATTTAATTTAAATCAAAGGGAAAAAAAATTTTCAGTCAGGGGTAGGTGCAAAAACAGCTTAATCTGACACCTTTGATGCAATACTTGATTGAATGAATTGATGAGCAGATTTCAACAATGATATGGCAGTTGAATTGTTGCAACAAATGTATATTGTAAAGCACCACCCACTGATTGGTGATTTCTTGCTCAACTTGACAGCCATATTGTCTCATTCTGATCTTGCTCATGTGACCACCATCTTCTGGCTTTCTCCTATATTTTGGATAGGAGTCATTCCCTTATTTAAATTTAAATCAAAAGGAAAAATTTTTAGTGGGGGATTTATGCCCCACAGGGACCACCTTTGATCAAAATGAAATATCCAAGTACCATAGGAGTCATTCCTTTGTTCAAATTTAAATCTAATTTAAGTCAAAGTTAAAAAAAAAAAATTTCAGTGGGGAAAAATCAAATAGGAACCCCTTTGATCAAAATGATCTTGCCAATGTGACCTCCAATTGCACATCCCCCATTTAAAAATTTTTTTCCCTTTGATTTAAATTAATTTAAAAGGACCCCCTTTGAACAAAATGAAATATACTTATCCAAGTACCCTGAGTAATGTAGTTTCAGAATATATATGGTCATGGAGGAGGGTTCGATCTCCAAAACCCTAGGAGGAGTTGGATAACAAACAGACAGAGGCTACAACTTTATATATACTGATATATTCACCATTATTGGCAATGACTTTTTGCCACTTATCAGGCAGCTCTTTGATATCTTTTGAGTAAAATTCCACAGTTTTTGATATTCCACTTGAGAAACTTTATCCTATTAAAGCATTTTGCAGTGATCGAAAAAGGTAATAATCAGTTGGTGCAAGATCATGTGAATATGGTGGATGGTGTAGACTAACGCAGTAGTGTTCCAAATTTTTTTCAGGGTGTGTTATTCTTGTTGACCAGAACAGAGCCCCTTTTCAACCAAGCTTTTAGGAACATCTTGCCGCTGTTGGACCTATAAATGTGCCTTTAGTGTTTCATTATCCTTTAAATAATTATTATACGATAAAATGATTTATAGTACCTTTTTGACAATACTAACACATAAACTATCAATTAATAAAAATGAATGAGAGTAAAAAATACAATGCTGATGAATATAACTTTAGGTAAGAAAAAACAAAATAAAGATAGGACAAACGATCTTTAGGTTAGTTGCACAAAAACAAATTAATAAACAACACCTATAACTTCAAATAAATATAATAATCATGATATATAGAAAGTGCAACAAAATGATCTGACACATTAGTGGGTTTAATAAAAGTGAAATAGAAGAAAGAATGAACAGGTTTTTATTTCTAAATGTACATATAATGCCATTTTGTTTTAAAAATGAAATCAGTCAAGTGAGTGTGATTACTTTCCACACACTGTAGAAGGCATTCATGAAAGTTGCCCATAACTTGACGGGTCACTTCATGTAGAATGGCAGCAATTTCTCGATGAATGGCGTCTTTTAATTGTTCAAGAGATCAATGAGTTTATGCCTTTGATTTCAGGTATCCCAACAAATAAATCACATGGGTTTAAATCAGGTGATCGGGCAAGTCAACTCTCTTTGTTGTGCAGTTACTGATTTGTTGTTCTTAAACATTTCCACAATGAAAGCACGATGCTCACCCATCCAACTGATGTTGGCAACTGAAAATGAAATGAAACAAAATGGAATTATGTGTACATTTCGAAAATAAAATCACATTTTTCATTCTTTACTCTATTTCACTTTTATTACACCTACAAATGTGTCAGATCATTTTGCCACACTCTGTATAATAAAAGAAATAACTATTGCAAATTATATTAAATTATTATTCTTAACTATGCTGAGTCTTGTGGTCCTACTAAAGATTGAACTCACCGTCCCTGGCTAACAAATTTCTGAAGATATTAGACTCCCACTCCTCAGTTTAATGGGTGTGTTCTAAGTAGGGGCAGTAGCTTGTCTCCCTTCATGCCAAAGTGGATAGAACCTTTAGGCATTATTTAAGTTTACTTTGAAAATCGAGCCTTTGATTTCATATATCCTCACAGAAAAACATTGCATGGGTTCAAATCAGATGATTGAGAAAGTCAATGCTCTTTGTGTTGTAGTTACCAATTTGTTGTTCTTGATAAAATTTCCGCAATGAAAGCACTGAAATTTCTACTCTGTGATCATTTGCCTAAAATAAATGATAAAGGCGTTGGTTAGATCCAGTGACAGTGTGAGTTCAATACCTGGTTAAGACAGTGGAGAACTTGGAGAGGTGAATTAACAGGA